TTGTTAAATATCCTTCGATTCCTCTGTTAAGAGTTTTGACTTTAAAAATGACCAAATATATTGCAGTTACAGTATATGAAAATGATCAATATTAGCAAGTGAAAAAGCATTAAGTTCGGCGGGGCCGAAATGAAAATATAGGGAACATACCAAAAAGTGGACCTATATCGGCATTTCTAAAAACGGATTATGTAAACCATAATACAAATATACCCTCAGCCTTATGGCTAATAAGGGTGTATACACTTTAACACGGTGAAAATGTGCCTCATCGAAATATTCCGTTTCAGAAAATTTAGATTTCATCCAAACTTTGCCCATCTTATTATTTCTTCCAAACTTAGTTCACATTGGAAGATGGGGAATATCGGTCCACTCCTTCTGGAACCTCCACACAGGGGCTAGTTCATTATCAAACCTTACGGCGGCTATAGTTCATTATCAAACCTTACGTTCTAATTTTTTATCTCGCTATCCTTCGCAGGTGAAATGATTACAACAGAATCTTAGAACCAAAGTCAAAACGCGGAACAAATCAGATAACTATTTTAATATAAACCAGTAAGGAAAGTAGTAAAGACGGACTGGGCCGACTATATGGTACCCTTCACCACTTTGAGTATATTCTGAATATGTATCCTAACAGACGTAGCCTTTTCAAAGGAATATTGACATGAAATTGAACGAACTTAAATATGCTACCTTTATCTATAAATAAACCGACTAACATAAATTCTAACACATGCCATATTAATTTTTATTAGGCCGTTTTATCAATCGGCCTAGGTATGGTTCTTTAGTGAATCATTTACTTAAAATCGGACGAACGTATATATAGAAGCTATATGTAAATCTGAACCAATTTCAAGAAAACTTGACACACAAAAGGTTATAGTAACTTCAGTACATTATACAAAATTGTGTGCCGGTCGGCCAATCTTTGGGTCTTTAGTGCACAATTTAAATTAAATAGGTCGCAAATATATATTGGAGCTATATGTAAATTTGAACCGATTTTCACGAAACTTGGCACAAATTTCGTTCAAATCGAAAGATATATAGGGACTTTGGAGCCCCATTTACCTTAGATCGGACGGATATATATATATATATATATATCTGACCCGATTCACGAAACTTAGCACACATCATTCTGGACCTAATTCATTTACCTTAGATCGGACGGAAATATATATAAATCTGACCCGATTCACGAAACTTAGCACACATCATTCTGGACCTAATTCAGTACCCTATGCCAAATTTCGTTTAAATCGAAAGATAAATAGGGACTTTGGTGCCCCATTTACCTTAAAACATAATATTCTGTACCACAGTTTGGTGAAGGGTATAAAAAGGGGGTTATATGAGGACTACCCTAAGGACTACCCTGGTTTCTATTATCAAATCGATTTAGAATGGATAGTTTTGCGATACTTTAAAGATGTGGGTAAATACCCAAGTATTTACCCAAAAATTGGGTATAAACTCATTAACTGCGGAACCACTTGACATAGGCGGCCAAAATTTCGCATACATGTTTTTAATGTCAACGCAAATATGGAAATCCAAAATTGTTTTGATATAGCCCCCACATAACCATATCTCCTGATTTAAGGTATTTTTTGTATAATTGTCTGCAATTTGGCACAGAGTGTCGGCTGTTATTTGGCACAAATTGTTCTCTTTAGGTACCAAATGACCATGCAAATATTTATGTATGTAGGTCCACGTTTTCTGGTAGCCCCCATACAATGGTACCCCTATTTTGATATTTACCCAAAAATTGGATATAAACTCATTAACTGCCGAACCACATATATGCGGCCAAAATTTGGCTCAGATGGTTTTTATATCAATACAAATACTGGTATGGGAAATGGGGTCTCTGAGTCCAAGTTCTGATATAGCCCTCATATAACCGTACCTCCCGATTTTATTATATATATGTAAACTAGCATAAGCCCGATATGTCGTTAGCGGAATTTTTGTATAGTTAAATTGGATAAACTTAATTAAGCTACACAATATATATTATTTATATATTGAATATTTAGCATAAATTTGAAATATTTCAAATAATGATAGGTCCTATATCTTATTATTTTTAAGAAAATCTCAGATTTTACTCCGCATATCTTTCGAACAGAGACGTTGATGTTTTCATTCTACTAAATCGAGTACAACTTACTTATGTTTATATTTTCGGAAAGTGTACTTTTATTTTCTCGATCCTCCCGATGGACCAATGCAAATAGTACGTTTTTTAAATTTTTTGGTCCTTTAGGTTATTTCATGTTAATGGTAAAACATGTAGTACGTTTTGGTACTTGTGTACCCTTATAATACGAATTTGTAATATAATATTTTGCACAGCGCATCATTTATTATACAGAGACCTGCGTTTATAGGGAAGATTTCCATTAAAATTGCAGAAATTTATTTACGTGTTACAAAATCCACATTGGAAAAAATGTCGGTATTCCAATATATCCTCGACATAAAGATCCCGCCCATTATTCATTACATCGAAAGTATGGTTCAAAACATCATTAGAAATAAATATCAGTACTTGCAGAAATTTTAGAAACATTTCCGTTTAAAAATGCCAACTATTTCGTACTTGTGGTGTTCAGTGGCTTGTTTGCATAGTCTCACTTATTTGTGTATGAAGTCTCGTCCGGATTTCACTATATCGGAAGTTTAAACCATAGTTCAAAGAAAAATTCGGATATCTGTCACTAACCATCCTGTTTTGTACTTTCTAATACGAATTTTCGAAAATGAAAAAAATTTGAAATGTTATAGCTAAATAAACATAAAAAATTGAGGACTCCACCTCTACTCGTTCTGTCGTATACAATATTTAGTACATTAAGCACGAATGTCCAACAAAATTGCGAAAGTCATTGTTTTTCACAGAAAAACCTTGTACCAAATTCTATATCCACCCGTAACGCCTTATACAATGTTTTGTACTTTTTACTACATTTTAGAACTTATTTCTGGAAAATATTTATGTATAAATGTTTATTGACATAGTTGCAGATAAGTATTTTATAACAGGAGTACAATATTGAGTAATTGCTAGTACCGTGAGTAGAATTTACTAACTTTTTGGCGTATTACATTTGTTTATAGAGCATATAACCAAAAGAATAAAAATTTACAATGACACTGCGAAAACATGGTCACCCACGCACAATTTGTCGACAACTGAAGAAGCTAGCCAAAGTGGTTTACGCAGATAGAGAACAAAATTGCCATATACAAAAATAAGGTTGCGGGTCGGAAAATGTTTAAACCAAGATTTTATGAGCGATATTCAAATGTGCCCCACGTTGAAAGGTGCCCCCTACTTTTTAGTACCTTTAGTACTAATTTACAAAATTCTTTACACATTCTGAATCGCTTATCATGGACAAAGCTGTGTACCAAATTTTACAGTTCTACATCCAACCCTTCCGGTGTTTTACAGTTTTAGTACTATTTTCCAAAAATATTTTTGCAAATCATTATATTTGTATTAGCTTACGCTACATACCAAGTTTCAGATATGTATATCTACCAATTCCATACAAAAAAAATAACTTGTACTTTTTAGCACCTTTTAGTACTAAATTCTAAAATTTGTTCACACATATCACTTGGCTTATCCTAGGCTAAGCTGCATTCCAAATTTCAGAGTTCTACATCTGACCGTTCCGCTGTTATACAGTTTTAGTACTTTTTAGTACCATTTTAGTACTCATTTTCAAAAAATATTTTGGCAAATCATTATATTTGTATTAGCTCAAGCTGCATACCAAGTTTCAGATATGTATATCTACCTATTCCATTCCATATAATAATAGTCCTTTTTAGTACCTATTAGTACTAAATTCCAATTTTTTTTAGTTTTTTTTTTTTGGTACCTTTTAGTACGAATTTCGAAAACCCCCGCCTTATCACACGCCTCCCTCCCAAACCCCACCTACATGCCAAATTTCAAGTTTCTAGCTTTAGCCGTTTCGTCTGGGCGTTGATGATCAGTCAGTCACTTATAACGCAACTCTTATATATATATATATATATATATATAAACCTTAAACTGCAACAGACGTTTCATATATTGTTTAAATATCAAAGGGAAGTATACATGATATAGTCTCCAAGGTCCTTCCGCATTGCTCCACCTATATCTTGGCCACATGTTCTCTTGGAGTGTTTTTACATTACATGTTTTGTCCGTTGCTGCCTACCAGATCCCAGACGCGTATGTTAGGATTAGTCTGATTACACTCTTATGGATCCAGTGTATCATCTTTAGATTAGTATATGTCTGACCCAGTCAACGACGGCCGGTCAACTCGATAGGTTTCGATGGATTGGATAAGTATTTCGGTGCCTACATTGTTAAGAGCTCCCTCGATGTCAACTGAAATATCTAACGTATGCAACCTATATAGTTGTTAGTTATGTTTATTTAGTTTATTTAAACTTTCTCACTAACATGTGATTCGTTCCGATTAAATGGAATTCATTGCTAGATATTTTTCTTGGCACTCCATTAACGGCTAACTCTAAATATCAACCTAATAACAAATGTCATACATTAGTTCCGTTCCAGAACCTAAAAGAATCTACTCATTTTACAGGTTTCCAACTTTTTACTCGAAAACCGTTCCTCAACCTACAAAACTGGTAAAACATTGACTCACATTTAAGAGAGCACAAAACAAAATGGCGGCCTCTTTGAAAACTTTTTACTCGAGAAATTTGTTCGAGTAAAAATGGTAAAACAGGAACGCCTACTTCTGATTGGCTGTTATGTTGACTTTGAAGTATTGCCATCTAATTTTGGCAACTTTTCAAATTATTTTGTACTCTGAGAGCAATTTTGAAATGTTTCCCTTTTACTAGATTTACTATTAAAAAAGTACTGGAACGGGCCAATTATTATTTCAGATTTTAACAAAGCAAACAAGCAATCCTAACTTTAAAAATCCTCAACATCAAATATGGGCGATGCAAAAATGTTCGGATTAGCAACAACTGCAACAACAAATACTACCACAACTACTACATCATCTGTACGATCGGAAAATATTAATCAATATGGTGGCGGTGGAAATATTGGTGGAAGACGTTTTCTAGAATCGGCTGCCCCAACTGGACGAAAACCGGTGACAAAAGGTTCGTCGTCGTCGACAACAACCACAACTGCACCAACACAACATAATCAGCAACAATTATTACAAAATATTGTTAAGCCGAATGATACCTTAGAGTATATAATCAAATTTCCGACCCCTCAATATCGCAATGAGCAAACGAACGGGTTTGAGCAATCAGCGGGAGAAGCGGATGATTTTGTTTTTGTATATAATGATACACATGTGCCGATTGTATTGCTGTTGGGCTGGGCCGGTTGTCAGGATCGTTATTTGATGAAATATTCGAAAATATATGAAGATCGAGGGTGAGTATGAAAAAAATATTGTTTTTTTGCTAGTCAATTAAATAATTGTAACATTTGTTAGGTTAATAACGGTTCGCTATACAGCTCCCGTCGACACTCTGTTCTGGAAACGTCGTGAAATGCTACCGATTGGCGAGAAAATCCTCAAACTAATCTATGACATGAATTTCGATTCCCATCCCGTTATATTCCATATATTCTCAAATGGTGGTGCCTATCTGTATCAACACATATCATTGGCCATACGCAAACATAAGACACCGCTGCAGGTGCGTGGTATGATTTTAGATTCTGCCCCGGGTGAACGGCGTATGCTGGGTCTGTATCGTGCCGTAACAGCTATTTATGGTAAAGAGCGAAAGAAATGTCATTGCGTTACCGCGATTATTATAACTATAACACTGGGCATAATGTGGTTTTTTGAGGTGAGTAGAGTTATGAGAATTCCAAATTTTACCAAATAATATAATAATGATACAACTTATACCCTACTATAGCGTCCATTGAAGTTTGGGCATGTCTGAGAGGTTGGTCAAACATGATTTTTCCGCCGTTATTCTGGTGACCGGATCATAATTGGTTTACGTTTCGTATAGACTGTGGGTTCACTGTATTATTAATATTTCACTGTCTTCTATATTTGGAGTTGTTTCTGTTTGATTCAATCTGGTCCTGATCTTGTCTAAGTTACGAAATGCAGCTACTTCCTCAGGCAATTTCATAAGTGCTGTGTGGTGTAAGGGCCTATACCACATGCAGGATAGACATTATGCATGTGGTCATAAATCCGTGCCCAATACGAACTATACGACTACACCATCTTGAACGTAATTGGGTGGGGGTGAATACTTCTCCACCAGTATTCGCAGATCACACCGCATAGTTGGCTACAGGCCGACCAACCGGTTTGTAAGAAGTTAAACAGTTCTGGAGAAATCACCCACCCTGGGGAACTCTCTGCTTTACTCTACGGGATGTGGACTTATTATTCTGAAACTATACGTACGACTGGCGTCCACACATATAATTGATTACACTGTGCGACACGAAAAATTTTCAGGCGTTCTAATGTACCAATTCTGTTTAGTTGGAGTCCCTGGATCACGAAAATACCTTTGGTTTTTCTGGGTCACTTCGAAAATTAATTTTATAACGGTAAATATAGAGAAAACCGTGGTTTCATGGATTTTCCATTTGAAATTTGAATAACTTACTTACTTTATAAGGGATTTATATTATTCTTTTTTTCTTTCGAAGAGTACAATTTTTCCTTTCAAGCAAGATATATATTTGGTAAATCGGTAGAGTATTGGCTGAGTTACAGCGGTTGGATTGTGAAAAAATACGCATAAAATGACAAAATTTATTTTTCTTCGGACTGTACTATGAAATTATGATATCAAGCCATATAAGTTTTATTATATTACGGGGAAGAAAATTAAATTAGCTTTCGAAAATGATAAAAATCAAAAAAATCGGTTCAAAAATGGATGATTTATACACATTTTTGTATTGTAGGCATATTCTCTAAAGGAACTATGGGTCTATCTCGTTTCCTTTGCCTGTTACAAACATAACGGTTTGTAACAGGAAACGATACAGAGCCATATTTCCTTTAGAGAATATGCATAGAATCAATACAAAAATGTGTATAAGTCATCCATTTTTTAACCGATTTTTTTGATTTTTATCATTTTCGAAAGCTAATTTAATTTTCTTCCCCATAATATAATAAAACTTATATGGCTTGATATCATAATTTCATCGTACAGTCCGAAGAAAAATAAATTTTGTCATTTTATGCGTATTTTTTCACAATTCAACCGCTGTAACTCAGCCAATACTCTACCGATTTACCAAATATATATCTTGCTTGAAAGGAAAAATTGTACTCTTCGAAAGAAAAAAAAGAATAATATAAATCCGTTATAAAGTAAGTAAGTTATTCAAATTTCAAATGGAAAATCCATGAAACCACGTTTTTCTCTATATTTACCGTTATAAAATTAATTTTCGAAGTGACCCAGAAAAACCAAAGGTATTTTCGTGATCCAGGGACTCCAACTAAACAGAATTGGTATATTAGAACCCCTGAAAAAATATTTTTTCTTATTTTGTAGCACAGTGTTATAGAACGTTTCAAACTTGGCCGGAGGAAAGTGTTCACGATGCCCTCAAATAGTGTGGCATTATTCACGTTATCAAAGGCTTTTGATCTGTTGTGTGACACGGTCGATTCTGGTTAATTCTCGACTTATATGTGTGGAGATGTTGTTGTGCCGTGTTGCTTGCAGAACCCATGTTGATTCGCAACTGGATAGATTTTCCTAGTGCTGGGGAGGAGTAATGCTTCAAGAATCTTCGTTACGGGTGACAAAAGTGAAATCGGCCTGCATGACACATATTTGCTGGCATCCTTGGCTGACTTTAGTGTCGGAACCACCCTGAGCATTATCCAAGCTAGGGGAACGATTGATGACTTTGGTCAGGCACTCAACTCAGGACTCGTCCAGCTATTCAAGCATATTCCGTCAGGGCCCAACGCTTTAGATGACTACCGTTGCAATAAAATAACTAGTGCGTCTCTTCGCATCAGTCACAGATTCGTCGTTATTTGTTACTGAGGTCCCATCATCCTTCTTACCAGGGTTCGGGAGCGAATTAACCATTGTCCACAGTTTAATCACACCGGCTTCAATGTTGCAATTCTTCAGATGTTTCAACCATTTATTTATTCATGAAATCCACTATCTAGCCTATTTTTCCCCGAAGACTGTTTGCAATTAATTTGTAGAAATGGTGAACAGAGTGTTGCATAAGGAAAGTTAGGACCCCACCTCCACTTCTTTTGCAATTCTTCTATAGAACATTGTAATCATCGCAACGCTGTAGACTTCAATTGACAATGAGCTTGGTTTCCTGCGCCGCCGCGACCCAATTATTCTTTCTAATACCGTTGCAATAAAATTGCAGAAATCGTACACTGCCAGGAGTAGTAAAAGCAACGGTGGTGTTAAATATTGGACTGCAGTTGAAGACACTACGATGGAAATCCGTACGTCGAAGAAGATGACGTCGTGAACGAAGACTAGCTGGGGATTGTGCTGTAACAGCGCTAGCAACATAATCCTGTTCGTTGTAGCCCTGCAACCAGGTCTTAAAATCATTTTTGTAAATAAATCTTATGATATCACCTATTTTCTGTATTGTACTTAGGTGTTATTGTACAATATTAAGATAAAACGTTGGTCTTAATGAACCCATATTTTTAGTTTTGGCACGATTTGTTACGAATTCGTTAGGCAACAGTTTGCAATCTCTGCGTCCATTATGTGCCGCCGACATTCAGTTTCTCTTTTTCGAGTGACATTTTGGACATCTAAGTGACACTGTGTTGAGGTGGAGATACACGTTGATTAAATTTAATTCTAGGTCATAGTTTACGTCAGTTTCAACTTCGAGTTCAGATATGGATAGAATCATGGCACAATGAATAGGTTGTCCATTTAGAGCAGCTGATGTCTTGATTAACTGTCAAAGTGGGTAATTTCTACTTGAATTCGATGTGCAAAGTTGCCAACCATTTGAAATATTACATGGAAAAATTTAATAGATAATCGAGACAAAAACTTTTTTGTTTTGATACATCACCTTAAAATTGCATCATGGATGGAATATTTCAATGTTCGCTTAATTATTGAAATTAAAAATAATAACAATTAGAAACAATATACAATTTATATTTTTTAATAAATTAACATCTTAAAAATGTTTAACTTTTATTTCTCTTTTTTAGGAAACATTTTCTGCATTTAAAAGCCTATTCTGCAAAACCGAGCCAATACAAACCAATCCCTTCAATGATCTGAAAAACGAACCAAATGAATATCCGCAACTATTTTTGTACTCCAAAGGTGATGTTGTTATACCACATACGGTAAGTTGTCAATTAAAAAGTAAAAATCGTAAGAGTTGAAAGTTGGAAAGTAAGGATATGTTAAATTAATATGTTTTTTATGATAAAATCTAATAGAATTTGTAGAAAAAGTCAGCAAAATGTTGAGAACCAATGAAATTTCGATGACTATGTTGAACCCGTAAATCAATACATTCCAAATTTCTATATTTCCTAGATTATACCATTATTTCGAATGGATTATTCACTCCACTTTTTAATATTTTAGTATTTTCGGTGCAGCTTCAAATATAATCTTACTGTCTAAGATGAATATATTTTTCCTGAGAGATGCGACTTCGTTTAGTTGTCATTCTATAATAAAGTGTGTATATCCATTAAATTGTCAGAAAATATTGACATGTTAACTGGAGTAGCTCAGTCTGATTATTAGCTATATCTAAAAATTGTGATTTTAGTCTTTTTCTTACTTGCATAGTGTAACGACAAGTTTCCTCCAAAGACAAAATTTATATTGAAGTGACTTTGAGTGAAAAGATGCAGTTAAGTTTTCAAATTCAGAATACTTCACTTTCTTTAGAAGCTTAAACTGATACACAAATTTCATACACTTAAATTCTTAAACTTTTCAACGTTTGGCTCTGTTCTGCTACTGTACCGCACTATAGATAATTTGCCCTGTTTTTGAAGCAAAAATTAATAACAGCGGTTTTAAACGATGTTTTGACTTTTTAATGATTTATATGTACAAGAAAGGGAAAACGCAGATTTCCACAGTAGAAACCGGATATAACGAACAACGGTTATAAACAACTACACATATAACGAACTAAGCTAATTCTTTCTCAGATATTTCCATTAGTTTTCTTAAACATAACAACCGGTTGAAAACGATTAGGGTAGTAAGTTATAAAAATGTCGACCCCGCGATTAGATTTGTGAAGGAAAAATTATTACAATGTTGTATGTTTTTGCAGAATGCATTAATTCACGATTAATTCAGGACCCATTTATACTCCTTAAGGTTATTAATATGTAAAAGTGAGATAAAACCATGTTTACTACAGTTGAACACGATTATAATAAACACTGGATATACTGAACAACATTTTTTCATATGCAATTTTTTTATTTTTAATCAATGATGAAAAAAGTAAATTTTTGCTGGTTTATATTCTAAAGGGAACTCAAGCCCGCCATTTCCTCTTCTCCACTTTTTAGATTTTTTTTCATAATCTTTCCTTCGACGTCCTATTTGCGGTTAACGAGTCATGTTATTTATTTTGTAATAAAAAATCGAGTGCATTTTTTTCGCGGAGAAGTTCTATCTTCTTATGACATTTGGTCCATCTTGATAAATGCATGCGAAATAACCTAATTTCCTTTTTTAATTTTACGTATTTTTCGTCCATTTTGTTGTTTCTGTTTCTTTTCTTTTGTTTTTTTTTTCATCAAACCAAATATCGAAATTTTTTTTGTTTTTTATTCTGAAGTTCCCTACAAAAAAAATGATATATTATGAAAAACGCAAAAAACCGCAATATGGGACTTATTGGAATTTATTTAGAAGGCTTTCATTAATATATATCAGTTGTCACAAGATCGGACAAATTTAAACATTTTAGTAAAAATCTATCTAAAATGACTTATGAATAAGAAATAATCCAATTTCTTTTATTATAGTCAACTATGTAAATTTTGAATCGCTACACAAACGTATTAACAAATATTATATATTAAATAAACAGCACACACGCCAATACTCTCCATGTTCAATTTTTATGTTTATGATTTGTATTTAGCGGTTTTAAACGTTTTAAAATACGCCTTAATTACTTAATTGTTTTATTTCTTTTATTTTATTTTCAATGTTTAGAGTTTGGCAACGATTTTCGCCGCTTTTAAAACACTATTACGCAAAAAATCTTACAGAATCATAAATTTTGACATGTTTTCTTTTTAATGCATTAAAAAAAATTTTATTTGTTTCGATATGTTATCTTCCACTTGAACTATACTACGAATTCGTAAACTTCCTTCGTGAACCATGAGTTGGCTCACTTTTGAACTGGTGCATCCGCATCCATTCGCACCGTAGTCGCTACCGTTCGATACGTCTGGCTATGTCCATGTCATTGTATAGATGGTATAACTCGTAGTTCATTCGACGCTGACATTCAGCGTCGATGCAGATCAGCCCTTAGATTTTTGGGAGAACTATCTTCAAACACTCCCAGAGCTGACTCATCTGCTTGCGCAAGTACTCATGCGTTAGATCCGTAAACCAACACAGGTAGTATCAGCGTCTTGCAGAGTGTGAATTTGGTCTGGCGAGGGGTGGCCTTGCTTTTGAGTTCCTTACTCAGACTATAGTAGCTTCTGTTGGTCAACACTATTCTCCTCCAGATTTCGAAGCTGATGATGTTTTGTTTACTACCTCTAAGCTGTAGTTTTCAAGTTCCACAGTTGGTCCTAGTCTACTGGACGTCTTGCAAGTTGATACCGTCATCTTGGTCTTTTCGCCATTTACTGTCAGTCCCTCTTTGGCAGACTCCTTCTGAATTCATTCAAAGTTGGCTTGCAATTTCTGTTCAGGATGTTAAACTGGTCACACGGCAAACTTCCACCTTGTCTGAGTCCTCGTTCGATAGTGAATAGCTCCGAGAGGTCCTTTCCGTCTTTAACTGCTGACCTTGTGCCAGATAAAGTTATCCTGCATAGTCGTTCACACAGCAAGCTTGATAACAATATATACCGTCATCTCTTATTGGTTCTGGGGTATCTTCTTCACCGCTACTATTTGATGCCAGAAATGCTCCTTCCAAATCCTCAACACGCTGTGGGTATCTGTCACCAGGTTTCATTCTTCATCTCTATGCGTGGTTTTATATTTGTCGGGATCGGTATCGGTGTTGAGAGTTTCTCTCTCTCTCAGTGGTAAATTGTGAATTGTGTTGGAAAACATTACCACAGGTAGGAACAAAAAAGTACGAAAAGGTACCTGAAATTCTACTTCAAATGATAATAAATCATAATTATCGATAAATATTGGCCAATATTTATACCAGTTATTTGCATAAATAATATATGTTATAATTTAAGCGTAAATGTATTCAAGAATAATAAAAAAATCTAATTTTTGTTTTGGTACGTTTATGTCAATTCGTACCTTTTGTGAACAAAAAGTACGCTTGTTACAAAATTAAAAATAGCGCAACTCTAATTACTCTCTCAAGAGAGAGAAACTCTCAACACCGATCCCGATCCCGACAAATATAAAACCACGCTATAGGAGGATGTGCTCGCACCAAAGCAGTCGTTTTGGTGTTATACTCGTTGGTAAAATTCATTCAGACTCCTGTACATATCGATTTGCTCACGCTCACGTTATTCTTGTTTTTTTTTCTGAAAATACGTTTCTTCTCTCTACTTTTCTCCCGACAATTCTCTCTCGCATTGCGTGTTGCTACTGTTTGCAGAATTGCCATGTACGCTGCGTTAAGTGGGCCACACACCTCAAACATGTGCATTCGATCGGTGTGAAGCTCCTAGCCCACACACGTCAAACGGATCCATTAAACTTCATTTCATATTTATTTTTGAAGCGTGAAGATGGACCGCGATAGTGATGACGGAAAAAAGACGAAATATTTTTATTTAATATAAATGTATTAAATACTTTTATTTTATTCCGGGAACAACATTTTTATTTGCCACACAGTAGAATATGTGTAAAAACATCAAAAAATCTTCCAAATACATATGTATTGAATTTGTCCGCTGATCCGCACTCCACGAAATTTCTCAACAAATGAGAAAATATCCACACACCAGGCCACAGACGTCAAACATGTGCGCGTCGCACAACGAAAAATTAAAAATTGTTAATATCTTTCGATCGGTGTGCGCACCGGCAAATCGGTGTGAACACCGTACCACACACGTCAAACATTGCTTCGATTCACACCGATCGAACGCACATGTTTGACGTGTGTGGGCCACTTTATTCACCACAGGATACACTTGATAGTACCATGGGTTTCTTGATGGTGGTGTTTGTTGCTGTTTGTAGGGAGTGGACAATTCTTTGCCATTGCGCTTCTATATTATTTTCGGGACAAGGAGTGCTTTCGACTAGAAAGTTTCCGTGTTGTGTCAGATCTCACCTTTGCTGCTATATTAAGACAAGTGCGAACCATGTCTACTACAAGGTAGTGGTCCGAATCTACCATACTGGATGAATGTCTTCCGTCTATCACAACATGATCGATTTAATTTCTCATTTTTTGATCGGGAGAAATCCATCTAGCTGCTAACTACCATATTTGTTGGTGCCGCGAAACTAATCAACCTCATATTTTCCCTTCCGATTTCTGTACTAAAATCTCCTAACAGAATGTTAATGTCATGGCCAGGGCAGCGGTAAAATATGACTTTAGTCTTTTCATCTTTGTATTCCGTCGGAACAGGGGGCATATGTAGAAAAACTTCGCTTATATACGGATTATAGCAATTCGCTTATCTACTGGAGTGAATCTGGAGATCGTTTAACTATAAATCCGCAAATCCAAATTTATGTCTCGTTTCATGGTAGCTGTAATACAGTGCGTAATCATCTGATTTACTTCCGCCTGTCCCTTTCCATCAGATTTCCTATAAGGAAATAATTTCGGCTTTGTACTTCTTGACTACATCCGCCGCCGAAGCGCAATTTGACTTTCAACTACTACAACTTTATTTACATATCTCTCTATTTTTATTTCAAATTTAAAACTGTTTTTTTATTTTTTCCAGGATATTGAAAATTTCATTACTTACCGACGACAACAGGGCGTTGATGTAAGCTCTGTCTGCTTCGAAGATGCTGAACATGTAAAAATCTATACAAAATATCCGACACAATATATACAGTGTGTTTGTAGTTTCATCAACAACTGTTTAGCGGCACCCTATAAACCGCCAATGGAAAGCTTTAATAGCGCATCAACCACACCTTCATCAACTTCAATGAAATATGAATAAACAAAAATTGAACTCTTGTATGCACACATGTGATGATATCTTTACATAGTATCCTATTTGAAAGAAAGAAAAAAAGATTTGATCGATTTTCTTTTCAATTTTAATTATAACAAAACAAAAAGATGATAAACAAGTGTTTCTTTTATTTCCTTTAAACTAAAAAAAAAAACAACAAAAATACTATTAAATAAAAATAGCCGAAAAAATAAACTCAAACAAAAAATGTAAATCACTCAAAATATTATTTTCTTAAACTAGGATTGTTGAGAAATAAAGAAGTATAATCAAAGAAACTGTTCTGAATCTTTGTGGTTTGGTGATATTGGTAGAGTATATTGAACCAAAATTTTATTTACATTTTTAGCTCCCAAAATTAATGACATCTTAAAAATTGACCTCGGTATATATACGAGCAACGGAAGTTTTCGAAATGTACTCAAATCCAATCATATTCATGGCAGTGTAGCAAGAAACAAAGCTATCCTTTGCTCAGAATGACAAAGAGAGGTTTGTGGAATTTTGAGAAAAGTGGTGTTTAGTGACAAAAGTAAATTCAACATATTTGACTCCGACATATGCCATATTGTGTGAAGGAATCCGAACCGTTAAATATGGAGGAGGTACAGTGATGGTTTGCGGTTGCAAGTCAGCTTTGGGAGTAGTTAAAATTGTGTTTATAGATTGGGTCAAAAATAAAAATTTAAAACATTCCAATATTTACGTCTATAACAAATATGTGTAAGGATATAAATGGAATATATTCGATGTAATTCATTCGAAGTTCTGTTCAGGTTCATTGGTTCCCAAAATTAATAACTCTTTAAACAACTTTTACGTCATAAAAATGTACTTAACAAATCTTCCTTAAAGTTAAAAATGTAACTCTTAGATTTCTAGGACAAAAATAAAGAAAATGAAATCAACTCCAATGTACAAAAAAATACCGAAAATTGGGGGGTACTGTTATATGGGAGCTATGCCTAAACGTGGACCGATATATCCCATCTTCGAACTTGACCTGCCTGCAGACAAAAGACAACCCTATGCAAAATTTCAGCATCTTATCTCAATTCCTTCAGAAGGTAGCGTGATTACAACAGACGGACGGACATGGCTAGATCGTCTTAGAATTTTACCCTGATCAAGAATATATATACTTTACAGGGTCGGAAATGATTATTACAAACGGAAAAACAAAACTAATATACCCTCCATACTATGGTGGAGGGTATAAAAAATGCTTCAAATTCGTGTAATCTACAAAGATTGCATCAATGAAAAGGCGATCGCCCTGATACTGAAATAGCGCTTATTATATGGTTTAATGAATTGGGATGACGAACTGATTTGAATGTTAAATGATGCAGATATTTTGGTTTCGGACAATTCTGTTGAAGAATATCATAATAATATTCATGATGAGGAATCCATTGCACTATGGGTAAAAAGTATTATTTTTTGGCATAAAGTCAATTTTTATTTGTTTTCATATTTTGAAATGTAACTAATTTCCTAAATGTAGATACCCATATTATGCAGTGTATACCATATTATGTATGATAGTGTATCATTTTTGAATGGCACTTCTGCCCAAATTTTGCTTGTTTGATAGTGTGGCCTCACATGATTGTCATTCATCAGGCAACCACAAAAATATTTATGGTTGTTGGACAATCAGTAATCGATAAAAAAGTTGACAGTCAAAAATGATGGTGTGTACACCGCTTTAGAAAAAAACATTTAATATCAATGCGAGTGGCAACCCTTTTTTTGCTGATGAGCTTTAAAAGTTAGCAGTTTGAAAGTCACATTGTTTTGGCGGTAAAAATCAGCTAAGTTCGAGTGCTTGTAATTTGACAAAATTGAAAAAAAATAAAATTTGTAATTATGGAAAACGTTAGTGCAGGTATGTAAAATTAAGACGAGATGCACTTTTTGTCTGTGAAATGTTTTGTTTAAGTATAACTTTATATAAAATCTATAAATTGTAGTTTTGTTCCGTGGAGTGTAACTTGTGAATGGCAAAGTATTGCAAAAAGTTGTAAATGCCAAGTTATTAACAAACGTGTTATATTTTGTGCCAACACTAGTTTTTACTGAAACATGTGTCTGCTGCGCTTATTGAAATTTGGAGCAGCAACAATCGCTCAGAAGATGAACTTGTGAAATATGTGTTACAGAATATTATTAATATCAGTTTAAATGAAGACCAAATGCGTTTGACATCAAAACAAGTTAAAGATTTTGTTAATTATATAAAAGAGCATTTGCCAAAGTTCAACCGTAAATTAGAGCGATTTAAAACTAAACATTCAAAATGTATAATTATAGTAATGGATGTTTCCCTAACAGTATGTTTCCCCAAACAAAATAGGTCGCCCAAAATTAAATTATGAAGACGCTGGACCTAGTCTAAAAAGGAAATTAGCTTCCGAAGTTGCTTCACTAAAGTTCATGCTACTACGGTTTCAGCCAAAATATCCAACGTCAGAGAAGACATGGCCTTTGTTTTGAATAAAGCAGTCAGTAATGGAAATATAGTAAGGAACAAACTTTTTGGTATATGCAGTTATAAGAAATAGTGCTCCAAATCATATGAAAATTGGTAGGTCTTCTTGGGAGCATAACAAATGTATACAAACCCAATTTCACTTCAATAGATTTAAAATTAGAGTTTATGCCAAAATAAACGTAAAAAAATCGTGCATTGTAGAAGTTTCCATTGAAATAATACAATTTTGTACAGATAACGAAATTGAACAAAACTAATTTTTTGAAAAAAAAAAATAGAATCGTTTGTTGCATGTTCCATAAAAAAGAAGAGTAATAAGATTACAGAATTCAATATATTGTTTAAGCTATTGATTTAATTTAAATAAATATATGTATTTGTTTTTAATAAACTATAATTTTATTTAAACAAGGACATACGTTGTGTTTATTCCATGACGTGTATATCAGTATTCATTTATAGACCATTAAAGAGTGGAATTCGGATATAGTCCTAATTCGCTTATAGGCCACAAAATATGAGCAACTATGGTTGAGGACTATATGCAAAAACTACTGCACTTATACCGTAGTTTTATATTTTTAAGGAGAATTTTATACAAATTAGCATACTTTCTAACAAGTTTTGTACAATCTCATTTGAAATATTCGTCCAATCACATCAGATTCGCTGCCAAAGTTGCCCTCAATTATTACGGGCTGGTTCTGTCCCACTTATCTCTTTACGATTGGCCTCAAATTATCCTTCGGATTAAGGTCGAGACTTTCTGCTGGCCACTGTGTTATTTGAAAATTTTGCTCACCAATATATTCTGTCACGATTTTGAACGTGTGTCTTTAATCACCGTCCTGCTCATAATTACTTTTTCTACACGATAGTCGTTCTTATCTACCAAGGCCGGTTTATATGACTTCTTTCATTATTATATTGTCAATTTTTTGCATCGGTCCAAGATCTACTAGTTAAAGCCAACCCATTCCATAGTAATTCCTCAACCGTGCTTCACATTAGGCCTTTAAATTAGTTTTCATCACCAATAATGCTTATTGTCGGATTGAAAACGGTTGAATTTGGATTCGTCGGACCCGATCACACATTTCCAGTCGATCACTGTTCAACGTTTGGGCTCGTTGAAAATTGTTTACCCTGATTTTGCAGTTTTTTTTCCCATAATACAAGTTTTTGTTTTTTTACTGCTGCTATAGCCAATGTCACGCCGTTCACCGATTAACAGGTGGAGTACTAACGAAGCATATTTTGGTATTAAAACTTATCAATTCACTTTTCCCGTGGGTGCACACAACTTAGAAGCGGTGTACAAACTCATATTTGAAGTTTGGGAACAACGGAATATCTTTTTTTGTACCCATTTAGCCACTAATTGGGACAATTTGAGTCTCTTTGCCGTTTCCAGGGTATAACAGCTTCTTTCACGCAAGACCCGCATGGCCTCTTCAGTGGTTATTAAACGTTTTTCCACGCACACTATGTTTTTCAAAAACGGGACTTAATTAATGTAAAACTTATATTTTCCATGGCAAAGTAATGAAGGTAGTCTCATTTCAAAAATTCAAATATAACTGTGCGCTTTTTATACCTGAGCCTGTCAAAGAAATACAACCTTTCATCTAATCAACATAAACGTTGTTGTTGCTGTTATATGTCAGTGAAAAAATTGTTTGTTTACATTTCGTTTTTGAAAAACGAAAAAATTGAACAATAATAAATTCAATAAAGCGCAATTAACAATTCCTCGGATAACACCAAGAGAGCAATCTACCACAGAAAGACGATGGTTAAGTCGGTTGGTCAAATTGTACTCGTTAAAACCAACAGACCACTATTTCCTTGCAACCCGTATCTCACATTTCAATACATCCAGAATCAACTATTGTATTTGTAGGATGCGTAAACGATGATGTTAGTCTATTGAACGTGCATAAAATTCCTATTTGTGAATTGTTTGTCACCCAATGTTCGCTCCTAGGGATATATAGTCGAACGAGTCAGTGCTAGTCGTTCGAGCTGAGGTTATATAATTTAAACAGCCAAAACCAAAAGACTGTTAAAAAATAAAATAAAACCAGTGAGCGGAGCAGTATAGTCGGACGGGGCCGACCATGCGATACCCTACACAACTACCACGAACTCTAACTTTCTGAGGATGTTTATTCCGAGTCTGAGTAATATTTCGTGATATTTGCCCCCTCTTGTCCCATTAGAGGTCAACAACACCTCTTCCTTACTTTTTTCGAATATTCAGTACAGTCCTTCTAATTACTTGTCCAGATTACCTTCACGGTGGGTTGTGTTGTGATATTCGGATTATACTCTACTCGAAAACACACAAAAAATTATGTTTTCGGTCCATTTCATCCCAAAATTTTAATCTGATCATCACCGAAAATTGTAGGCGTTGTTCTTGACCATAACTGGAACTTCATGAAAAATTTCAAAGCCATCAGCGCGATATTTCTCCCTCTAATGT